TTGATAATCGTCGTCTTATCCTTCTTCGTGTTGAATTTTTTAGCTATGAGTTACGAACCAAACACGGCCTTAAACCTAAGTCTATCAAGAAATGATCTTTTACTTGATCAATCATCGTCGTCATCATCATCATCCCCTTTAAGTCCGGTTGAGCCACGTGTTTTCTCTTGCAACTATTGTAGAAGAAAGTTTTATAGTTCACAAGCTCTAGGAGGACACCAGAATGCTCATAAACTCGAAAGAACCCTAGCCAAGAAGAGTAGGGAGTTGAGTTCAACCCTCCGCGGGACTCATTTTAGTTGGTCAAATCATAATAATAAGAATAATCATCGCTCGTTGAGCCCTAGTGGTCCAAGCCATACTGGTCATGGTCATGGTGCTAGGTTTGTTACAAATAATGATATAATAAGCTATGGAAGAAGAGAGATGATGATGAGTTATGAATCTATGAAAAATGGTCATGAAAGTGTTCAAGAGGATTTTGGACACCTTGACTTGTCCTTAAGGCTTTGATCATCATCACTTTTTTTTTTTAACTTTTTTTTTTTGGTTATTTGATTTTTACTTCAAGAAATTGTTGTAATTTCAACCTATTTTGAGGTGTTAATTAATTAAAAATTCTACTCAAGGGCGGTTGAGTTCTTATTTAAATTAAATATGCATCATCTTTAGTTTTTTTTATAAATATAAGAGAATTCTCATGAAATTGTGATCAGAAAAAAAAAATCTAGTGTATATTGACTTTGTTGGTATCTTGAAGAAAATTCCTTTTTTGCCCTCTAAAAATGTATATACAGACAATATCTCGATAAGATAATCCAATTTTATGTCTCGAAGTCCTTGATTTTGTTCTTTATTTTATCTATCGACTTTGTTGGTATTTTGAAGAAAATGCTTCTTTTTTTCCTCTAAAAATGTATATACATGTAATATCTCTATAAGAAAATCTAGTTGTATGTCTCAAAGTCCTTGATTTTGTTCTTCATTCTATCTATTGACTTTGTTCGTATCTTGAAGAAAATTGCGTTTTTTTTCTCTAAAAATGTATACACATGCAATATCTCGATAAAAAAAAATCCATTTTTATGTCTCAAAGTCCTTGATTTTGTTTTTTTTTTCTAATCATTTTTCTATAATATGGTCGATATTCAATACTATATATGTAATCGTTGTATGATAGAATTTGTTGTTGTGCATTAATTGAGTGTAAGATTCAATTAATATGTAGTATTCTCTTCTTGCAATCCTATTTCTATAAACGTTTGTTAGTAATATACATTTTATCATTTCACTTGTGGAATTCTCGAGTAATTATCATAAAGTTATTTTAAAGGATAAAAATTGAAGATTTGTGATTTCAAGGAGCAAAATTATAGATCACCATAAAATAAGGGTATTTGTGCAATTACCTACTTTTTTTCCTACTCAGATGTCTGATACTTGTATTAAAATTCGAATAAATTTAAATTTACGCTGAAAAATCTCATATTAAAGAATAAATCGCTTCGTATAACAAATGCGGCTCGAACCTGAAACCTGGTATAAATAAAAGGTTAAGTAGTCCTTTAATCACCCAATCAATAGTAGCATAGGCAAAAAAAATCACAAAAATTGTCAAATAAAAGTGTGTTTTATGCCAAAATATCACAAATATCGAGTCATCATGGACTACGCATCTAAAACACATTTTTCTAAAGATGTATACCAAGAGAAAATGAGCAATTCCATGAATACCTTAATTTTCCAATTTATATGACACTTTTCATTTTTTGAGAGTCAAATAGTTTAAGTTTGACCGAAAATTTGTGCGTAGAATCTTCAAATTTTTTGAAATGAAATTTATATATTTGTAAAGTACGTAAAAAGTACTGTAAAGTACGTAAAAATCACTATAAATTTATATATTTGGTTAAAGGTAGAGTTTTTTTTACGCGAGGACTAGGTACCAATTCGACTTAATAAATTTATTTCTTCTCTTTTTCAGTGGTGCACTCATATTTTAGAAATCTTGAATTCACATTTGTTAAGGACCACAATTCGATTAACCAATAATGCATATTTTATTGGTTTGATTGCCAATTGAACACGTTTATAGATAAAAATCAACTGATAACCGATAAACTAAATCAATAACATATAAAAATAACCGATGTTTGATCCCTCACTATATTGGAACTTTTTGTCAAAAAAGAAGAAAAGGAAATTAATGGGCTGTCCCTTTTTACTTGGGCTATAGTTCATCAAAGGACGAGTTGTGTAGAACTTGGGCCTTGTTCACTCTATAATTAAGCCCATCTGTTTTTAGTGGCAATTGAGTCTTCTCTTTTAAATGTTTGTGAAGTCCAAACCTTAGTTGAGTCGAGGCGGTGGCGGAGTTAAATTTTTGTATGAAATACAAAAATTTCAATAATTTGGGTGCTAATTATGTTCTATTCCAAATGTTTTCTAAATTACAAAAATTTCCAAATTTTCAGAACTCGCGGATACATTGCTCCTTTGCCCGTTACATAATAAACAATACATAAGTTATGTATCAGATATGAGTTATATATTAGATACATAACTATAAACTAAATTCATACTGATTTAGGTTTGAAATAATTGAGGTTATGTATATATGATAACATTTGTACCAGATAATTATACACAAACAAAGTTGTAATATATTTGATAGAGGTGGAGTGATGTATCCGGATGTTAAGAGAGAGAGAAGGAACAAGTGGATTTTTGTAATTAATTCAAATGATAGAAATTTTTAGAGATTATGTTATCTTAAGTCGTGTAATCACGTAATTTTTCCTAAAGTTTGTATTCACTTAAAAAGTATTCAAAATGTAAAATGATATATAAGAAGCCAAGGATATGGTCTCACTCCAAGATATTAAATTCATCCCAAAGAAGGAGACCCTTTTCTAGTTGTTTGTTTCATTTTTTAGCATAAATATAATCATGTGCTCAATTTTGAGAAAAAAACAAATGTTTTGGGACAATCTAGATGAGAAATATGAAGTAATTGGTGACGTTTGTTAGTTCTTTGAATTATGATAAAGTTATCTTTGACTTATAAATGAGAATTTTAGGGACATAATTAATTAATAGACAATAGGTTGGGAAACTTCCTTTGTCACCACATGCAACTTTATCATATTATTATAAATATATTAATCATATTAAGAAAATGATAAATAAAGTAAATATAATTGTCCTCTAATCTAATTTTTCCAAGTGGATTGGTCAACAAGTACCAATCTGTCGTGTGAACAAAAGTTTAGAAAAGAGAAGGAAACAACCACTCACTTGCTATAAGTTTAAATTTCAGATTGTATCATTAATCTAGTGAATTTACAGCAAATATACAAAATTAGAGTTAAAACTATTAAATTCAAACAAATCAACAATTAATGCACTACATCACCCAGATAATTAGTTCGAGTCTCCTTGAGTACTGAGTCGTTTTTGGTATGGAACACTTTATTCCTTAGTATGAGACTTTTCAGCGCGAATTCGAATTTAGTCAGGCCCCAATGTGTACTGAACAACGAATGAGAAATCAAAAAAAGAAAAGGATATGAACATTACAACAAAAACAACTTTTAGCGGCAATAAATATATGCATTAACAAAAAATGCTAAAATATTTATCGACATTAATTAATTATCATTAAATTCAATGTTACTATAGACTTTAGGATCCAATTTGGATTACTATTCTAGTTTGGAATTACTAAAGAATATGCAAAGGAAAAATGTGTTGTTGGAATTAGTATAAGGTGACAGCTTATTATTGAAAAGTATGAATTGGTTGAAATTTATTAATTTTATAAAGAGAAGAAGACATTATTTTGAAACAAACATAAAACACTTGGACAACCAATTAGTTATTACAAATCAATTAATATAAAAAAATTTTATATTGTTTGGCTTATTAAGCTCCATTTGTATGGAGCAAGTAAATTCTGAATTTGGAATAGGTCAGACAAAGAAAAAAATGAAATAATATTTCTTGACGTGTTAGCTAACGTCACTTAGCGTTTGAAACATTATCTTTAGACATAATGAGTAATCTTTTTCTTTTCATATAATAAAGTGAAGTAGTAGTTGGATATGGCCTACAATAGGTATAGGTTATTGTCTTTTCTTCCTAGGATGTTTAATATTTGTATAAGTGTATTGACCAAATTAATTTAAATTTATATCGTGTAAATGAATTAAAGGAGAAGTGTTGTCTATTAAGAAAAAATATATATTTAGAACTTAAATTCGAATTTTTTGTTCATCCATAAGAGGTGCTAGTTAGTTCATTAGCTTGTCCTTCTCTTAATATATACTGCTAAAAAACACTGGAATTAGCTATGAACTTCGTCGTTGGTCGTCTATCGCTATTTTACTTGTAACTAACGAAAATCTATCGCTAAGTAGGATTAGAGACGATTTTTGCTATTTAACTACAAAATTTATCTGTCGCTAGAACAAGTTATACCGGAATTAATTATTCCGATTATTTCATGATTTTCTTCCAACCAAATATGAAAAAGCTCATCTTCAAATTAATCCTGAAATTAGTCATCTCTTATCCTCATACTAAACAATACCCTTAGTGTATAATACATCGTTTTGAATATCGGAAAAAAAATATTTTGTAGAAAACATGAAAACTCATCCAATAAATAAGAATTTCCGACAATCAATAATTTGAATTATTGTTATTACAGATAATCCGCTTTCACAAGAAAGAAACTCTTAAGTTTCTAATCTAGTATTTAGAACTCACTTACTAAACTTTTGATTAAGTATAGAACCGCTCCAACATCCCACGCACGCAATCTTTAATGGTGGGATATGCCATATTTATCAATGCGTAATACACACGTGAACATATGGTATAGAAACGTGTAGAACTCTCAATAATATGATAATGACATCAAAAAAAAAGTTCTATAAATAGTCTTATTCATTCACATACTTCTTCAATATTTCATTAATCAAATTCATAAATCTTGAAAAAAAAATGACATTTATAGACTTATTACTCTTTTGCCTTATTCCCTTTCTCTTCATTTTCCTCATCAAATTCCAAAAAACAAGAAAAAACCCCATTTCATCAAATACTAAAATACCAAAATCATATCCTATTATTGGTTCTTATTTTTCCATATTAGCAAATCAAGAACAAAGAGTTCAATGGATATCTGATATTATCCTTAGCACCCCTAAACTTACTTTTACTCTAATTCGACCCCTCAATTTCCACACAATTTTCACTGCTAATCCATCTAATGTTCAACACATTCTCAAAACAAACTTCCCTGTTTACCAAAAAGGCCATAATTCAAATTCTACTCTTGCTGATTTCCTTAGTAATGGTATTTTCAACGTCGATGGCGATATATGGAAGTATCAACGACAAGTTGCTAGCCACGAATTCAACACTAGATCATTACGAAAATTCGTTGAATCTGTAGTTGATATTGAGGTCTCGGAACGTTTAATTCCCATACTCGCTAATGCTGCTGCTGAGAAAAAAGTTGTTGATATTCAAGACATTTTACAAAGATTTGCATTTGATAACATTTGTAAAATTGCATTTGGATATGATCCAGAGTATTTGTTACCAAACCTGCCTGAAGCAGAATTCGCGGTAGCATTTGAAGATTGCGTTAGATTAAGTAGTGAAAGATTCATTCTTCCATTTCCGTTGATTTGGAAAATTAAACGTGTTTTCGGTATTGGTTCTGAGAAGAAATTACGAATTGCAGTTGAAAAAGTACGTGAATTCGCGAAAAAACTAGTGAGGGAGAAACAGAGGGAGTTGAATGAGAAGTCATCATTGGATTCAGCAGATTTGTTGTCGAGATTTTTGAGTACTGGTCATTCTGATGAAGATTTCGTTGTTGATATAGTGATAAGTTTTATTTTGGCAGGACGTGACACGACTTCAGCTGCATTGACATGGTTTTTCTGGTTGATTTCGAAGAATCCAGAGGCGGAATCTGAAATATTAAAAGAAATTGGGGAAAAAGAAGAAGATGTTTTAATGCGATATGATGAAGTAAAAAACATGATGTATACTCATGCTTCACTTTGTGAAAGCATGAGATTTTATCCTCCGGTACCAATGGATTCGAAAGAAGCAGTTAAAGATGATGTATTGCCTGATGGTACATTTGTGAAGAAGGGGACGAGGGTTACTTATCATCCTTACGCAATGGGAAGATCAGAGGAGATTTGGGGGGAAGATTGGGCGGAATTCAAGCCAGAGAGATGGTTGAATAAGGATGAAGTGACGGGGAATTGGATGTTTGTTGGAAAAGATGCATTCACTTATCCTGTTTTTCAAGCAGGACCGCGAGTTTGTTTAGGGAAAGAAATGGCGTTTTTGCAAATGAAGAGGGTGGTGGCTGGTGTTTTGCAGCGGTTTAAGGTGGTTCCGGTGGTGGAGAAAGGGGTGGAGCCGATGTTTATATCGTATTTGACGGCCAAGATGAAAGGAGGTTTCCCTGTTACTATTGAGGAAAGGATGTAGGAGTAGTAGTCTCATGAACAAAATGTGAAAAAACAAGTTTATTGCGTGTGTTTTTAGATTATTTGCTTTTTGATAATTGATTTGTAGTAATGATTGATGAGTATATTGTTTTTCTAATAATCATCGTTTTTTTTGTGACATAGAGTTAAATATGATTTCTCTTTGAAATATCTATAATAGTTTGATCAACAAGGTCGTTTTAGAAATTTTTGATAGTGTTGGCTCTATTATTGACTTGATGGAACAGGAAAGAAAGATATAAAAATAGGTAATTATTGTTGGACACATATTTCCCTATTGATTTTGATTGATTGATGAGCAACGCCCATATTTGGTTATGTGAACAAAGCGAAGGAAACGAGTAATAGTTTGCTAGTGGACTTTGGATTGGACTCATTAATAAAGAAATACTACATAATATCATATTGTATGGGCCAAGCACATACACAAACCCACAAACTTGCCCTCATTTTTTATTTCGGTACTCCAACTTAGCCTTATTTCATTTTAACCCTTAAACTTCATTTTTTTGTACCATTTAAACATTAATACTAATTTTTATGATTTTTTTATTTATTTATGTTCTTCAATTACAATTTCTTATTTTAAAAAATAAACGTATGCCTGCTAATTTTCGTAAGAAAATTAAACATTCGCGAATGAACATAAAATTTTTCAAACAATAATATTATTTTTTGAGATTTCTCTGTATTTTTGCATGAAAATAAATTGACGAAAGTTCTTTGATTTTCTTTCTTAAACATTCAATTAAATTAAATAACACTACTTATTTATTTTTTCTTATCATCTAGGCTATCCAAATTTAACGCAAATACTCACTTTTAATTTTTAATATAAATCAATACGAATAAAAAAAGACTTCCGTTCATTGCTAATAACACGACTAAAAATGTTAAAACTCGACTGACTTTGTTAGGTTGTCAGTGATTTTTAAGAAAGAAAACCAACACAATTTCGTCGGTTATTTTTCACACAAAAATACATAACACTCTTAAAAGAAATTTTTATTTTTAAAAAAGAATTATTTTTTGTTAATTTTCAATTTTTTTAACTAAAATTAACTGACACATGTCGATTTAAAATAAGAAGTTGCAATTGAAGAATATATATAAAAATAAAGAAATCATTAAAATAGTATTTCGTGTTAAAATAGTACATAAAAAAAGAGTTTAAGGGTTAAAATGGAACAAAACTAAGATAAAGTGTCAAAATGAAAAATACGGACAAGTTAGAGGGGTTGTATATGTGTTTGGCCTATTGTATGAGTTATGTTAATGATTGACATGAATTGATAAGGTATCCTAGTTTGCCGCCTAGAGAGATAACTCATTTGGGTATAAAATCATTTGCCCTCATGAAATATTGGAGGCAACCAGTGATGATTGTCTTGTTAAGATAATAGCAGAGTACATTATTAGCTTTAAAAAAAGTCGGATAATTAAGACATCAAATAATCAGATTAAAAATATTGAATTATTAAGCAATTAAGAGTCAAATGTGTGTATTATAAGTGTTTGTTGTGAAAACAATGAGTGCAATATTTGTATTTGTTTTGTTTTAAAGCTATTGAATAATGCATATTTCTTAGACACATCAACAACTTTACTCAACTGAATTATTCCTAGACATAATGATTCGCTATTGTTGTTTTGATCTAGATATATAGTTGTATGCATTTGCTACAACATGTATATGCTCATTCAATATGATTGTGTCCATTGATACAATTGCAATTGCTATCACTTATATTCATTTGTTTCATGACTCTAATCAACACATATACCATTGATGGATATAATCATAATACATTGTATGTGTTCACTTAATTTCAATATATCAACGAATACAATATTGATGAATACATTACATTGGATCTTATTGTTACCAATTTTTTTTTACTAATTTAAAGATTTGTGTATTTCTATTCAAGCTCTAAAATATTCCATTCTTAGAAAGAAATGTTATCCTTTTCTTTCCTTCTTTTTATAAATTGGGCCTCAAAATTTTGAGGCCTAAGGGCAAAGGCCCAACCTCCCCTTGTGCTTGATATTTCTATTTTTCTTTATACAATTGTTTCAATTTTTCTTGATTTTGTTTTATGAAATTCAAAAGGTCAACATGTGACACCACATATGTTTTATTTTTTTCATCACCGTATGAGTCAATAACCTACATATCATATATTAAATTGATAAAAACAAGTACACACCACACATGCTTACTGAATAAAGTATTTAGCCACTCTAATGTCAAAATTTTCACTATAGCAATGTAAGATTGAAATAGATATTAATTTATATAGCAAAGTTAAACATATTACCCCCTCCGTCCATTTTTAGTTGTTATATCATGCTTTTCAAAAGTCAATTTGACTATTTTTAAAGTTAAACTAGATTACATTAATTTGATATTTTAAACAAAAAATTTAGATATTCAAAAACTATACAAAAAGTACTGTAAATTGCAATTTTTTGCATATCTATAAGATGAAAAAATACATCGTAAAATGTTAGTCAACATAGTTTCACTCTAGAAAAGGAAACCATGACAACTAAAAGTGGACGGAGGGAGTAGTATCTTTTCAAGTTGAGAAGAAGAGGTTGATTGTGGCCATAAAAATAGTTTTTAGCGATAGTAAATATGCACATTAACAAAGAGTGCTAAAGTCTTTACCAACATTAGTTAATTATCATTAGATCCAATGTTGCTATAAATTTTAAAGACATTTATAAAAAATACTAGTTACCACTAAAAAAATATATTTAATAACACTTGTGATTAATTAATTGTCACTAAAGATCTGAGTTTAATAATAACGGAGCTCACAAATTCCTCTATAGTGGTATTATAGTTACTAGAAAAATACAATGCATATTTCAGACTTACTTTAGTCATTTGTGTATTATAAGTGTTTGTTGTGAAAACAATGAGTGCAATATTAGTATTTATTTTGATTTAAAGCTTTTGAACTGCATATTTTTTAGACACATCAACAAACTTCACTCAACTGAATTATTCCTAGACATAATGATTCGCTATTGTTGTTTTGATATAGATAGTTGTATATATTTGCTACAACATGTATATGCTCATTCAATAGGATTGTGTCCATTGATACAATTGCAATTGCTATCACTTATATTCATTTGTTTTCTTGACTCTAATAAACACATATACCATTGATGGATATAATCATAATACATTATATGCGTTCACTTAATTTCAATATATCAACAAATACAGTATTAATGGATACATTACATTGGATCTTATTCTTACAAAAATTATTTACTAATTTAATGATTTGTGTAGTTCTATTCAAGCTCTAAAATATTCCATTCTTAGAAAGAAAGATAATCTTTTTCTTTCCTTCTTTTTATAAATTGGGCCTCAAAATTTTGAGGGCCTAAGGTGTAATGACCCGAAAGGTCATTTTGGTAATTTTTCGTGGAAATGACTATTTTGCCCTTTCGGTAGTTGCCCCGAGTCCCATGTTTTGTGGTTGTAAAGTTGGTTTGAGGAAAAGTTGGTAAAAAGTTGAGTTTTTGAGAAGTTGAGTTTTTATGAGTTAAAGTTGGTTAAAAAGTGCTTTTTCGAGTCATTTGGAGTTTCGGGACTCGGATCGGATTTCCGTCGATTCCGACAGTTTTAGAATGTCGAAACGGGTCTGTGTGAAGTTACGGAGTCGAATTTGGAGTTGAAACGAAGAATTGAGGTCCTAAGTTGCTAAAGTTGTGAAATTTTGATAAAGAGTTGACTTTGGTCAACATATGAGGTTCCGAGGCTCAGATTGAAATTCCGAGAGTACCGTTGGTTTCGGGAGGCGATTCTAAGTCTAGAATGAGTCTTGGTTGAATTTTTAGACGCTCCGTTTGAGTTTCGAATTTTTTTGGCGTTAAACTAGTTTCTTAGCATCTTATTGAATTTCGGGTCAAGGAGTCCTCGAATTCAAATTCCGACGGTTCCATTGAGTCCGGAACGTCGAATTTAGTGGGGGTACATATTTAGTTTGTGTGCACGAGATTCCGAACGAATCCCGAGGGTCCAACGGGGACTTAAACTTTGGTTTTAAAATTGTGTGCAGCTGCTGTGTATTTTAGCTGCAACAGCAGTTTCTTCCCCTTTTTTTAAAAGCCAAAAACAGTAGTCATTTTCCCCCAACTTGAAAAATACCCATTTCTCCATTTTTAGACTTTGAGAGCTCAAAAATAGGTGATTTCAAGTGGGTTTTCGCAAGGAATTCATTAGGTAAGTTATTTCCAACTTATATCTTTGATTTCCATCGATTATTTATGGATTTTAACATCAAAATTTGAGATCTCAACTGAAAAATTTGGGGGTTTTTGCCTAATCCGAATTTAATAGAAAATTTGAGTTTGTGAACTCATTTCAACTCCTTTTTCGAAACGGTTTTCACTATTGGATTCTAAATTTCTTGGGGAACATTTTTCACTAAAAATTTCCAAATTTCGAGAATATTTTTCGGAACGAGATTTTTTTGACCATTTTACCCTTTTCTCCAAATTTCACAATATTGGTGTTGTTAGATTCGTATTGATTGTGAGATTCCATTTATGAATAGATTGTGGTGATTTGGAGCGTGCTCGGAAGGGTAAAACTCAAATTTGAGTTACTAGTTGAAGTGTTTTGAGGCAAGTGGCTTCTAAACTTTGTTAAACTCTTAGACTACACATGACTACTTTCCTAATTGTGTTGGGGAGTAATGGGGATTGACGATGAGTTTTATTTGTTGATTGAAATTGTTGTAATTGAAAGATGGGGAATAAAACGAGCTAAATGTGTTATATGTGACTTGAATTTGTTGAATAAGTCATGTGATAACTGATATTGAGGGGATAGAAGAGCATGAGTAGGCTATGATTGATACAGACGATGTGTAATACTATGATGTGGTTGTGATTGAGACAGATGATGTGTAATACTATGATGTGATCGTGATATGGTTGTGATTGAGACAGATAATGTGTAATACTATGATGTGATCGTGATATGATTGTGATTGATGACATGTGCATATTCATTATTCATCCCAAGTATGAACTATCTGTTGCATGAGTTCTGAGACACTGATATGAGGA